ATGGAGGAGGACCAGGAACATGAGCACCCGGTCAGGAACCTCGCGCGCGCCTCGGGGCGCACGCCGCCGCGGCGGGGAGGCCCGGGCGATTCTCGCCGTCAGGCCACACCGTGTGCTCGCGTTCGCGCTCTGGGAGTGGAGCGGGTGGCCACGGCGGAGTGCACGGCGCCTCCGCGCGAGGCTGGTCTCGGTCCAGGCCTCGATTCCAAGGGAGTGCGCGCCGTGGAGTCGGCGAGTGCGTGAGGGACAGCTGGGGAGGGCGACTACTGCCGTTCCCACTGTCTCGTCTCCTCATTTCTAGTCGTGTATACATTCCCACCCCTGCTTCCCTTTGTTTTTTCCCAACCCTCCTGCGTTGGGTTCTCGTTTGTAATGGACCGCTGTGGTCGCACATTCCCGCCTCCCTCTCCTCCTCTCTCCTGCCTCTCACCTCGCTCGCTCCTGCGTGCCAGTTTGCCTCCCACCTGGCCGTCTCTGGGGAGCTGCGACCTATGAAACTGTCGCCACTTTCGAGGGTTGCTGGGGGGCCAGCATAGTGGGCACTTGCCGCAGACTCAGACTAGACCTCGCCATCCCTGGGGGTCTGCGATCTGTGAAACTGTCGCCACGTTCGAGGGCTGCTGGGAGTGCCAGCATACAGGGCACTCGCCGCAGACTCAGATTAGACCTCGCCATCCCTGGGGCGCTACGATCTGCGAAGCTGTCGCCACCTTCGAGGGCTGCTTGGGTTGGGGGGGCGGGGCAACATGGTGAGTACTTGCCGCAGATTCAGATTAGACCTCGCCATCCCGGGGGGGCTGCGATCTGTGAAACTGTCGCCACTTTCGAGGGCTGCTGGAGGAACACCATAGTGGGCACTCGCCGAAGACTCAGATTAGACCTCGCCATCCCTGGGACGCTGCGATCTGCGAAACTGTCGCCACGTTCGAGGGCCGCTGGGGGGGCCAGCATAGTGGGTACTCGCCGCAGGCTCAGACTAGACCTCGCCATCCCTGGGGGGCTGCGATCTGTGAAATTTTCGCCAGTTTCGAGGGCTGCTGGGGGGCTAGCCTAGTGGGTACTCGCCGCAGGCTCAGACGAGACCTTGCCATCCCTGGGGGGCTGCAGTCTGCGAAGCTGTCGCCCTCTTCGAGGGCTGCTGGGTGGGCAGCATCGTGGGCACTCTCCGCAGATTCAGGTTAGGCTCCGCCATCCCTGGAAGGGTGCGATTTGCGAAGCCGTCGCCGCTTTTCAAGGGCTTCTGGGGGGGCCAGCATAGAGGGTGCTCGCCGCAGAGTGGATTAAACCTCACCATCCCTGGGGGGCTGCGATCTGCGAAGCTGTCGCCACGTTCGAGGGATGCTGGGTGGCGCAGCATAGTGTATACTCGCTGCAGACTCAGACTAGACCTCGCCATCCCTGGGGGTCTGCGATCTGTGAAACTGTCACCACTTTCGAAGGCTGCCGGGGGGCCTGCATAGTGGGTACTCGCCGCAGACTCAGACTAGACCTCACCATCCTTTGGGGGGCTGCGATCTGTGAAACTGTCGCCACTTTCGAGGGCTGCTGGGGGGCACACGGAGTGAAGTCTTACCCAGATCCAGGTCAGACCTCGTCATCTCAAGTGTCGCCATTTTCGGGGACTGCTGGGGGGTCCAGCATAGTGACGCACTGCGCAAACTCAGATTCGACACCATTCCTGGGGGGCTGCGATCTGCGAAACTGTCGCCAGTTTCGAGGGCTGCTGGGGGGGCAGCATAGAGGGTACTCGCCGCAGAGTGGATTGAACCTCACCATCCCTGGGGGGCTGCGATCTGCGAAGCTGTCGCCACGTTCGAGGGATGCTGGGTGGCGCAGCATAGTGTATACTCGCTGCAGATTCAGATTCGACCTCGCCATCCCTTGGGGTCTGCGATCTGTGAAACTGCCGCCACTTTCGAGGGCTGCTGGGGGGGCCTGCATAGTGGGTACACGCCGCAGATTCAGACTAGACCTCACCATCCTTTGGGGGGCTGCGATCTGTGAAACTGTCGCCACTTTCGAGGGCAGCTGGGGGGGCACACGGAGTGAAGTCTTAACCAGATCCAGGTCAGACCTCGCCACTCCTGGGGCTGCGATCTGTGAAACTGTTGCCATTTTCGGGGACTGCTGGGGGGTCCAGCATAGTGACGCACTGCACAAACTCAGATTCGACACCATTCCTGGGGGGCTGCGATCTGTGAAACTGTCGCCAGTTTCGAAGGCTGCTGGGGGATCCAGCTTGGCGCTGTCGCGGGCCCGGCGCGCCTTGGAGCGTTTAGCTCCCGCACTGCACAGTGCAGGAAAGAAGCAGGGAAGCTCGCGGGCGAGCTAGGCTTCCCTCGCCTCTTGCACTAGATACAAGCAGGCCTGATCATTCTGTCGAGCGCCGCGGCGACATGGCGCAGGCAGCGCTGCATCTTTACTGCCGGCAAAAGCAGCACTCTCCGGTCCTCTCCCGTTACTTTCGTCGTGGTCCTCTGCCCCCTGCCACCTTCCCTCCGCTGCTGCCGCGCCGACGGTCCTGGGACCTCGCTCCTCGTCCTCCTGCTGCTGTCCCGTGAGCCGTGTCGCGTGAGCGCGGTCCATGCAGGATCTGCACAATATACAACGGCGCCTGCACGGTCAGTGTCGGGGCAGTTTGGGCCAACTCTTCTTGTCACTTGATGCAAATGTCGACTAGACCTAAGAGTGACCTTTCGCCGGAGTGACCTTTGGTGCGGGCACAGATGGGTCCCCACATGGCTGAAAGCGAAGCAAAAACAGCGGCTTGCGCGCCCAGGTTTGGTCCCCCCGCGGCCCCAGAAAATCCGCGCACCAAAGGTCACTCTTACCCAGGGTCACTCCTGTGTGTAACCGAAAATGGGTTAGGTACGTCGCAGGGTAATGCTTCACTGCCGCTGATCTTCCGCCCCCCATCAGCGGTGGAGGCCGGTGGGGGGGAGGGCCGCGCTCTGCGCTTCATGAGGGCGCCAGAACTCGCAGGATCGAGCATACAAGAGGGTGCCGAAGAGAGGTGATGGGGAGGAACCGAGGTGTGTTCCGTGAGGGCCCCCCGTCGCCCATTTGAAGCGTTATGCCTGGAGCGGGGCGCGTGTGGATTTTTGGGGGCTTTATTACGGGGGCCGAAGGAAAGGACGGTGGAAGGAGGGATGGGGGCAGGCGATGGGGGAGGAGGGAAGAGACCGCTGCCTCTTTCCCCTTCCCCCTCCCCCCCTCCTCCTGCACCCCTCCCCCATTCTCCCTCTTTCTCCCTCCGTCTCCCTCATCCTTCCCTTCCCTGGGGAAACATAAAGGATGGATTATGGAGAATGATGGCGGAGGTGTGTGGGGAGGGGTGGATCAAGGGCGGTGGAAGGAGAAAAAGGAAGAGAGAGAGAGAGAGAGAGGCAGCGAAGAGGGATTGGGGTCAGCAGGCCATGTTAGGAAGGGGAAACTTGCTCAGTGCCGCTCCTGGGGAGAAGGGCGACTCCAACTCGCCCGCCCGTCGCCGACGAGGCCTGGGCACCCACTATGCCGTGCACCGTAAGTCGAATGTTGCCCATAGTTGTCACATGTTGTTTTCTTGGCAGCCGAGCACGCCCATAATCTTCAAGCCTCAAGCCTGGGTCGTCGCGGTTAGAGACTAGCAGTTCGACGAGGATGGCGAGGACGAGTGGGGGCCAGGGAGCGCCAGCGCGACGCAGTGCCTGAGGTCTTGTCCGTCTGCGACCTGAAGCAGCACGGGGACATCCCCGCGGCCAGGTGCGGGGCGCAGACCGTGACGATGGCGACGCGCATGTGCGCGACGCCGCGGGGAGGAGAGGAAGGGGAGCAGGAGGGGGTGGGGAAGGGCGCTGGTGTGCGAGAACGCTTTGCGATAGGGTCGCAGTGGTGGCGGTGGCGGTGGGACGGGGGCGGTCGTGGCAGTTGGTGGTGGCGGTGGGGCAAGCGCTTGGGCGGTGGTGGTGGTGGTGGTGGTGGTGGTGGTGACGGTGACGGTGGTGGTGGTGGTGGTGGTGGTGGTGGCGGTGGCGGGGGGCAGGCGCGCGCGAGAATCTGGCGTGCGAGGGCGATGCGAGAATGTGGTGCGTGAGTATGGTGCGCGTGTGGGCAGTCGCGCGGTGGCTTGTGGGAAGCTCTCGAGTCCCCATTCCCTGCCGGGGCTCCAGGGAACGCGGTCAGACGGACACGCAGGTCTGGAGAAGCAGGGGGAGCAAAAAAGCCGAGAACCGATAGCCGAGGCTTCATGGTAGTTAGAGTCTGTGTCGAGAGAGAGAGAGAGAGTGTGTGTGTGTGTGTGGTGTTGGCTTGTGTTGGGCCTCCAGGGGTTCCTGGAGGCCTCATGCACAGGCGAATGTACAGCAGGACGAGGTCGGGCGGGGAAGGAGGAACACGCAGAGGCAGAGAGGGGGCCAGAGGAAATCAAGGATGCCTCAAAAAAGCAGACACGATGCTGCAGTGCACCCTGTCGTCCCAAGCAGCCTCCGCAGAAGTCCCTGCGCGTGTGCCTCGCTGCTGCGGGCAGCGCCCCCCTCTCGAAGGACGAGCGCCCGGTGGGCCTCGTCCACCTCTTCCTCCTCCTGCTCCTCCTATTCCTCCTCCTCCACTTCCTCCTCCTCCTCCTCCTCCTCAACATCATCATCATCGGCAACATAATCATCATGTGCCTACGCGGGCGAGGCCCTGCCCTGCAGAGGATGCAGCCCGCATCCCTCCACGAGCACCGGAAGCTCAGAGAGGCAGGAGGTCCACGTTGCAGGGGCCGTCCAGCGGTAGAGTCGATCCGCATGATAAGGGTAGGCATCCCTCCCAAGGATACCCTTGCATCCTTGCCTCCTGGGTCCATCCTTGGGCACTTTCGTTGGCCGCGCCCCGCTCGAAACGCTTCGAAATGGGCGTCCAAGGCCCTTGCATCCTTATCGCGCATCCTTACTATCCGGGTCGACTGTGGCCTCGTTTTTTTGAACACGGTATGGCCTCCGTCCGTGCACAGTGCCAGACTTCTTTGTCAGACAGCTCACGGGCATGTCAAGCGATGGCCTCATTTTGAAGAGGGAGTCGTGTTCCGTGCTTGCAGTTCTTGCACAATCCCGATCCTTGGGCAATCCGCATTTAGAGCACGTGCTGGGCTCCATCCTCACAATTGTCGCCAGTTGTTCAGATGAGTGTTCGCGGCGCTAATGCGTGAACCGAAAGTTTACATTGCTAGATGTCCATCCGTGCAACCATTGTAGTTTCTGAGCTTCAGGCTTGCACATTGTATAGAAGCCTGGAACGACACGCCCAGCCTACACGTTGAGGGGTGCGAGACGGGGGAGTTATTTGTTCAAAAGGCGTACGCCATTCTTCCGACCCCCCAATGAGGAGCTGCTTCCGATTTCGTGTGTGTGTGTGTTGTTTGACATTTCATGTCGTGCTGCCTGCGTGTAGTTGCTGCTGGTTCGTCCTTCTCTTCCTCCTCGTATGCTGCGGGGCGTCTTGGGCGTCTCTTAGATGCGTAAGGGGAATGCCTTTAGGAGCGTTTGCAAGGCTCTAGGGGGCTTTTGGGACGATCTGGGGGCCTCTTGGGGCATGTTAAGGGGGGCCTCCCTCCACCCTTCCTCGCCCTCGTAGAGAAACGCGCTTCGCAACGCTGGCATTAAGTCAAAAGCCTCGTTCCTTTCTTCCTCGTCTCCGTGACTCGTCGTCGTCGTCGTCGTCGTCGTCGTCGTCGTCGTCGTCGTCGTCGTCGTCGTCGCACGCGCCCGCTCGCCAGGTACCTGCACGGCGGGTGCGACGAGAAGAAGGCGGCCGTGCCCGCCTTGCCTGGGCCCCCCCCTCCCGCCGTGAGCCAAGACACGACGGACGCGGTTTGCCGTGCTCGGCCGCAGGGGGCACCGTGCCACCGTGCCTGGGTGGCGGGGTGCAGAGTCTCTCGGCTGCCCCTCGGGGTTCCTCGGGACGCCATCTGGGTGCCTCCGGGAGGCCTGCGGGTGCTTCGTGAGGCCCTCCCGGGGGCGTCTGCGTGGCCTGCGAGGGGCCTCCTTGTGGCCTCTTGGGGGCCATGTTCGCCCTCAGGGAGCCCCAGGCCTGTCAGAAAACGACTGATGGGCCTGTTTTCCACCACCACCACCATAAGTTGGAGGGGGAGGAGGGGGAGGAGGAGGAGGATGAGGAGGAGGAGGAGGAGGAGGAGGAGGAGGAGGAGGAGGAGGAGGAGGAGGAGGAGGAGGGACCCCCTCCCCCTCCAACTTATGGTGGTGGTGGTGGAAAACAGGCCCATGAACGACTGGACATGAACCGCCAGCACCTGGGGGCGGAGGCCGAGATCCCTGGGGGGCCTAGGTGGGGCAAACAAATTACGACATCGGGGTGTGGCTGGGTCCCTTGCCGTCGCCCCTCCCTCCCCTCGCTCCCGGGGACGCGCGTGGTGGGGCGGCCCCTGGAGACTTCGGAGGGGCTCGGCCACCGTGCCGGGGCTGTGTGCCAGGGGGAGGCCTCTTGGAGGCCTCTTGGGGCCTCTGCGGCGCCTCGGGGGGCCTTTGGGGTCAGCGGTCTTGGGGGCAATCCTGGAGTGCTCCCAGTGCCAGGTCGTGTTCACCTCCTTCTGGGGCCGAAAACGATAGAGCAACAATGAGTTCCATATGATATTGCCTTCTGGAAAGCCACACTGCATCTAAAATATTCAATGTGAAGAACTCGTAGGGACCTGAGGTCACTACACTCAGTGCCGCGCCATGGTGGCGGATGTTGCCTGTGTCGTAATGGGGGAGGAGGGGGGTGGACGAGCAGAAGGATTTGCCCACACGCAACAGTTGTCAGTGTCACACCATTTGAGAGTCGTACCTTGGACGTCTTGCGAGTCCAAGCGTTTAGGCGAGCAAGGGTGAGGCGTGGTCAGCTGTGCGAGACCGTTCTTTTTGCATGGCGGGGTGACGGAGTTCACGTCGTCTGGACAGCGACACTGAGCACCTAGAAGTGATGAGTCTGTGTGATCCGGCAGCAGGGAGTACGCTGCGTAATGCCGGGGTGGATGGGGGCGGCAATGCGAGTGTGTGTATGGTCTGACCAGCGACAGTGTTCCGCTCGGAGTGGTTCTTGTTCGTGCCCTGACAGCTGGGAACCGTACTTTGTACGGTCCAAGAACCGAAGTGTGCTGATCACCGAGGATTGCTTTGGAGCAGCCGTGCACGTCTGCTTGTGGCATGGCCTGGTGGTGTCAACCAACGTCGTCTCACGAGCGGCATTGTGCCGATCGAAATGTTTCTTGAATGTGTCGTCCTAACAGCTGGCAGCCGTATCGAAGACGCCTACGGCGAACCACCGCCGCCCCCTGCCTTTTTGGAAGCGCCTATGTGGGCGAACGTTGAGGCCAGACCTGCCAAGCCATCGGACCATGTGTTCCCCGAATCGGTTTGGAAAGCCTTCGGGGAACACGTGGGCATCTTGAAGGTCATCTTGGCCGTCTTGGAGGCCTCTTGGGCGATCTTTCGGCGATTTTTGGGGGCTCTTGGGCCGTCTCCGGCCGTCGGAAGGCCGAAAAGAAGGAAATGTCTAAATCCGTCAAACACCTAAGGAACATACATGTTTTTGGCCTCTTCTGGCCTTCCTGGAGGCCCTCTTGGGGGCCTCTTGGGCCGTCTTGGGCCAGCTTCGAGCCAACTTCGGCCATCTTGGTGGGTTCCTGGCACGTCTGACTCCGTCGGGAGCCGTCTTGGGGGCCTTTCTGGGCCAACGGGGAACCCTCTTGGGGCGCTTCGGGGCCGTCTTGGAGTCCATCTTGGGCGTCTTGGAGGCCATCTTGGGCGTGGTGGAGGCCTCTCGGGCCGTCTTGGGGCCCTCTTGGGGCCATCTTGGAGGCCACTTGGGCAGTCATGGGGCCCTCTTGGGGGCCTCTTGGGCGATCTTGGGGGCCTCTTGGGCCGTCTTGAGCCGTCGGAATGCCGAGAAGAAGCAGATTCATCAATGATTTTCGCCTCTTCGGGCCCTCCTGGAGGACCTCTTGGAGGCCTCTTGGGCCGTCTGGGAGGCCTCTGGGGGGCCCCTTGGGCCGTCTTGGGCCGTCTTGGACTCTCTTGGGCCGTCTTGGAGGCCGTCTTGGACCATCTTGGGCGGACTTGGAGGCCATCTTGGGCCATCTTCGCGATTTATTGAGGATGTCCCGAGCGAAACGGCCGTTTCAGGGAGGATTTGTCGTGGAGTTTGTGCACGTGGGTAATCCTCCCGGGACCCTGGCGGGACGGGCCGAAACCCACTGGGAGAGTTTGGAAAAAGAACCAAAACCAAAACCGAGAGGTCTAGCACGCCAGGCACCCCTGCGATGAATCGACAGGGGGCGGCGGATCGAAGACGCCTACGGCGAATCACCGCCGCCATCTGCCTTTGTGGAAGCGCCTATGTGGCCGAACGTTGAGGCCAGACCTGCCAAGCTATCGGACCATGTGTTCCCCGAATCGGTTTGGAAAGCCTTCGGGGAACACGTGGGCATTTTGAAGGTCATCTTGGCCGTCTGGAGGCCATTTTGACCCTTTCTGGCCTTCTTGGACGACGTCTTGGAGGGCTCTTGGACCGTCTTGGAGGCCATCTTGAGCGTCTTGGAGACCTCTTGGGCCGTCTTGGGAGCCTCTTGGGGCCGTGTCTTGGGCCTCTTGGGCGATCTTTGGGGGCACTTGGGCCGTCTCGGGCCGTCGGAAGGCAGAAAACAAACAAATGCCATAGTCCTTCAAAGACCCACGGGAAATCGGGCCTTCCTGGAGACCCTCTTGGAGGCCTCTTGGGCCGTCTTGGGCCATCTTAGGGCCATGATCGGCCGTCTTGGTGGGCTCCTGGTCCGTCTGACGCCGTCGGAAGCCGTTTGGGGGGCCTCTATGGGCCGACTTGGGCCCCACTTGGAATGCTCCAGGGCTGTCTTGGAGACCATCTTGGGCGCCTTAAAGGCCTCCTGTGTTGTCTTGGGGGCCTCTTGGGGCCCTCTTGGGCCGTTCTGGGGCCATCTTGGAGGCCTCTTGGGCGATCTTTCGGCAATCTGTGGGGGCTCTTGGGCCGTCTCGGGCCGTCGGAAGGCCGAAAAGAGGACATGTCAAATTCCGTCAAAAACCTTAGGAAAATCATTGTTTTTGGCCTTTTCGGGCCTTCTTGGAGGCCCTCTTGGGGGCCTCTTGGGCCGTCTTGGGCCAGCTTCGAGCCAACTTCGGCCATCTTGGTGGGTTCCTGGCACGTCTGACGCCGTCGGGAGCCGTCTTGGGGGCCTTTCTAGGCCGACTGGGGGCCCTCTTGGGTCACCTCGGGGCCGTCTTGGAGGCCATCTTGGGCGTCTTGGAGGCCATCTTGGGCGTGTTGAAGGCCTCTTGGGCCATCTTGGGGCCCTCTTGGAGCCGTCTTGGACGCCATTCGGGGCGTCATGGGGTCCTCTTGGGGGCCTCTTGGGCGATCTTGGGGGCCTCTTGGGCCGTCTTGAGCCGTCGGAATGCCGAGAAGAGGCAAATTCCAAAATCGTTCAAAAACTAATGAAAAATGAATAATTTCGGCCTCTTCGGGCCTTCCTGGAGGACCTCTTGGATGCCTCTTGGGCCGTCTGGGAGGCCTCTGGGGGGCCTCTTGGGTCGTCTTGGACTCTCTTGGGCCGTCTTGGAGGCCGTCTTGGACCATCTTGGGCGGACTTGGCGGCCGTCTTGGGTCATCTTCGCGATTTTTTGAGGATGTCCCGAGCGAAACGGCCGTTTCAGGCATTGACTGATGCAGTTTCCGGGTGGCCGGCGGGACGTGCCGGAGCCCCAGGGGGAGTTCTTTTGGAAAAATCTTTTGGAAAAAGAGCCAGAACCAAAACCGAGAGGGTTCAGCGCGCCAGGCACCCCTGCGATGAATCGACAGGGGGAAGCCCGCCCGCTCGCTGACTCCCTCAAGCTGTTGCAGAAATCGGTATCGTTTAACCGATCCCCATCCCCATCCCCATCCCCATCCCCTTCGAGACCCCCACCAAGTTACCACCCCAGTTGGGGATACACCGCTCGACACATTCTGGAAAGGATCCGCCTTCCGTCCGTGAGACTGTTGCACGTTAACTACGCGCGTCAGGATCATACACTGGGGGGGGGAAGTCTCACGCGAAACGCCTGGCCCACCCTACCGGCACGTCCGGGGGCGCGACACGGAGGAGTCTGTTGTTAGGAAAAGGGTTGGAGGAGGAGGAGGGAGGGATTAGGAGGGGGGTTTGTATATAATCACAGCTACTTCGGTTTTCTGTGCACCGCTCGCAAAAAGACAGACAACAGCAGTAGCACGCTCGATGAGGGTCTAATCTTTCGCTTTTCCCCGTTGCCGAACCTACGCCCGCGTTGGTCCTCTCCGAGTCTGCTTGCTGGGCCGTGCTTGCCAGCGGGCCTCAGCAGGCTTTTGGTGACCTTCACCTCCTCGAGATCGAGCAGATGAAGTGGACGGAGCTGGTGACAGAAGGCGCGCGAAGACACACACTCGCACACACTTTCACGTGCTCGCATGACTGAGCATCATGTGCGAACAGCATGGCATGTGTTCGGCTTTCTGTACAAGTATGACTTTATGTCCTGCTACACACATTTTTCACCACATAGCTTGCAACACGCAGCGTACCCCACACAGCTCACGTCAAATATAGTGCACCGCGCATCGTGTACCACAGCTTGAATTCCGCAGCTTGCAATGCAGAGCTCCCACCACCTGGCACAGCACATAGCTTGCACCACATATCTTACGTCATACATCCATGTGTGTTGCACAACATAGCGTACAGCATATACCTTGCGTCACATAGCTTGTACATATACAGTGCAGTAACTTACTGTTTGGCGGACTTGTGAAGGAGAGAGAGAGAGAGAGAGCGACAGAGGGAAAGAGGGATACACACATATATATACACACGCACATATATATATGCATCTAGAGAGAGAGAGAGAGAGAGAGAGAGAGAGAGAGAGAGTTCGGACGATGGGTTCGTCCTGGCACGCAGGGTGCTAGCACCTACTAGGCCAGCCTCTCACTGGCTGGAGGTGCTGCTTGGATTGCAGGAGTGGGACATCCTCCCCTGGCGCGGTCAAGAGGGAACCCGAGTGGAAAAGCTGGCGGGCTGTGGCGTTCAGGGTGTGGCACACTACGTCTGCACTCCCGAAATGGAAAATAGTGTCTGGCCTGGGAACCCGTGGGGAAAAAAGGAACACGCCGCGCCGCGTTGGGGCATCCCCTTCGGTGGCCCAGTGCCAGGCCTGCGGAGCGAGCTGCCAGGTGTTCTCGCAGCGCACGGCCAGGGGAGTGGCTCGCGCTGGTGCGTGAGTGGTGAGCAGCAAGTCGCGCCTGGAGGTTTTCCCGGAAAGTGGCCCCAGGAGAGACGTGCGTGCAGACAGCCCTGTGGAGTTCGTTCCAGGCGGACTGCGCTCTTTCGATTCTGTCGATAGCAGGGGTCTTGATTGTTCCTGGATGCTACGCAGCGTGTGTGCAAGGCTGGAGGCGCGTTATTGCAGTCCTAGACAGGCTGTTGCCTGCCCACGTTGAGGCGGTGCGTGAGAGCACGTCTCCAGTTGGTCGGCTGCGGCGGTGTCGCTCGGGCACCTGCACTCTGGCGGGTGGTACTAGAGCGCTTAATTCCCGTTCCCTGGTGGGGCTGTGGGTTGGGCCTGGTGGCAAGATGTGTTGCGCTGGGGATCTGGTGGTTTTCCCGTACTGACCAGTCCACTACGTTGGGGCGACGGTGCTGGCCCACAGCGGGGCGCAGTCTGCGACCCCTCGCCTACCATGCGCAGGGCCTCCCCAGGCCGTCAGCGCGTGGGTCGGGGTCCTGGCGGGCCGTCGCCTCCTGAGGCGCCGTCGCCCTGCGCCTTCTACGAAGAAGTGCGACTTCATCGTCCGCGTCGCGACCGTCACCATGGCGGCTTCCTAATGATTGGAGTATGTCGACTGTGACGTGTGGCCCCGACTGTGACGGTGCATTGACGCAGCAGTGTTACCATCGTCATTGTCGAGGGCCCCGCCGAGACCGGGTGTTCTGTCGTCCTCTTCGAAATTGCCCGGCGCCGGCGCTCGAGACCCTCCAGCGGTTGCAGAAGGCAACTAAGGCAGCGCGGCAATTGCCACGGCAATGGGCCGCTGATGCTGGCGTTTTTGCTGCTGGCGTGCTTCATGCTGATGGAGCGGTTGGTGCACGAGGCAGCGCCGAATGATTCGCTAACGATGGTTTTGCGGACGGCGAGCTCCAGAAGGGTACCAACCGCCCCTTTGTGCAAGGAGGTCGCTGAGCCAAGTGAGCTGTGTGACTGTGTGGGCAATTTAATTGCCCGGCATGCGACCACGCGGGCGCGGCGTGTTTGACTTCGTAACTCTTCGTGATGGCCTCGCCTTGTTCGTTGAGATCGGGGCCGTGCTCCGCGAGCACAGGCCGTCCTTGCGAGTGCTCTTGGCTTCCGTTTCGGCGCGCCGCATGTCGGGCAGGCAGCGAGGCCTTCGCGCTGCCGCCCCGCGAACCGTCCTTCGTCTTGCCCTCGTTTCCTCTCCCCCCCTTGCCTTCCCCAGCGCACCCGTCGTCCCCCCGTGTCCTTGCCCCGCCGCCCCCTCCCCCTCCCTCGCGCTCCTGCCCTCCCACCCTCCCTAGCGCCCTCCTCCCGATGGCGACATTCGAAGAACAAACATCGGCAGAAACATAAACTTTTGGATCTCCGCGCGGATTTCGCGGATCCGCGCTGGAACCCCCTGGCGGCGTCTCCGGCGCCGCCCTGGCGCGCTCTGCGCGCCAGGGAGGGGGGTCCAGGCCAGATCCAATAAATCCGTGCGGACCTCCAAAAGTTTATGTTTATGCCGTTTTTGTTTTCTCTAGACATCCCTGGCCCAGTGATGGCAGTCGATCCGATGGGATCGGTGTTCCGCGATATCAGGGCGCACGAGTTCCTAGAGCTCGGCTCCAGATGGTCACTGGACGCCTCCCCCCATGATGTAGGGAAAAGTGTGGATGGTTGAAGGGCGGAAGGGTGGAAAGAGAGGAATCTTGAGGAGAAGATGGAACACCAGGAGAGGGCGGCGACGGAGAAGAGGGAAGACCAGAAGATGGGAAAGCCAGAAGAAGGAAACCCGGAGGGAGAAGGGAAGGGCAACCAGGAGAGGGACAGGTGGTGAGGGTTGAGGGGGGGAAGGGTGGAAGGAGAAGAACCCGGAGGAGAGGAAGGAACCCCAGCAGGAGGGGGGAGGGGGGGGGGCGGGCGGGGGCGGTCCAAGACGGCCTCGCGCCCCCCGCGAGGCCGAGCGCCGCCGCCCCGCTGGGGGCACACCGTCGAGGGCCACGACACGGCGCCGCCTCCCCGCCCCCCGCCGTGGGCGGCAGCGCCGCCGCCGCCCGTCCGTCCGTCCGCCGCCGCCGTCGTCCGTCCGTGCGTCTGCGTCGTCGCCGCCGCCGTGCGTCGTCGCCGTCGCCGCCGCCGCCGTCGTTGCTGTCGTCCTCCTCCTCCTCCTCCTGCGTTGTATTCGTCGTCGTCGGGGGAGGGGGGAGGGGGGAAAGGAGGGCAGGGGGAGGAGAGAGGTGAAGGAGGTGGGAGGCAGAGGAGGAGGGGGAGGGGGAGGGGGATGGGAATTGGGCGAGGTGGGCCGTGGACAGGCACGCGCGAAGGTGGTCGAGGAGGTGGAAAGGGAGGAAGTGCTGGAGCAGGAGTAGGACCGAGGATAGTTGTTCTGTCATTTTTTTTGTTTCTCTCTCTCTCTCTCTCTTTTGTCTTTTTTTGTTTTTCTCTCTCTCTCTCTCTCCCTTTCTCGCAGACTCCCTTTTCCTCTCTCTGTCAGTCAGTCAGTCAGTCAGTCAGTCTGTCTGTCTGTCTGTCTGTCTGTCTGTCTGTCAGCCCGACCCGCCCAGGCCTGGGTTCGCGCGTCGCCGCGCCATAGCCCGCGCGGGAGGTATGGAGGTCGACGTGTCCCAGGCGGCCCTGGGCGCGGAAGCTGCTCGCGGCCAACGACGCCGGGATCCGGGCGGGGAGGAGCAGGAGGACACGATGGAGGTGGATGCGAGCGCCTGGCCAGCATCCCAGTTTCGGGCAGCGGTATTCGCCGTCGACGTGCAAGGCGCATCTACACGACCAGCCGCCTGCAGGTCCTGTGGCCTGGTCTTCGAGAGAGGCGAGCTGTGCTTGTGCACATGGGGCACCCGCAGTTGTGCACGCTGGATGTGCACTATTCCAAATCCCTCATTAATCGTCCCCCGGGTCCGGTTTTTTAAGGCGCCTTTTTTGTAACTGGGGGGGGTCCGGTATATTAGGGCGCTCTCTTTGGATTGGAGCTCAGGGGTCTGGTTTATTCAGGCGCCCCGTGGAAGAGAGGGGTCCGGAATATCAGGTCGCATTTGGAGGGGGGCCCGGTTTTTTAGGGGGGGTCGATTAATATGGGATTTGGAATACCTGTCTGCAGGGCCGGCTGCCGCTTGGTGCGGAGTAGCGCGCGAGGCTCCAGACGGAGCAGGGGCCGCCGCTGGGAGGGGGCCGCCGGCGCAGCCGCGGCGCCAGCCCATCCAGCACTTTGCGTGGGACAGCAGCGAGCTGCCTGGCGGGGAGTGGTGGGCGGACCCTCCATGGTATGTCACTAACTCAAAACAGACGCCCAATCCCAAAAACGCGGGGACTAAAACAAAACGCAGACACCTCGAGACTTCGGGGAGGGAGATTTTGGGGCAGGGTTCTACCAGGGTGACGACGACGAACGCAAAACATACCCCGAAACCTTTGGCCGATCTTCGAGTCCTCGGCGAATCCGCGATTTTGGGATTGTGTGTGTGTTTTTTCCGTGGTCAGTATGACTTGTTAGCAACTGGGGCCACTACGTACGTGCAGATCCCGGACAGGCTGCGCTTCGGCGCGCCCGGGAACTCGGGGAGGCGAAGGATGAGCAGACGCTGTTTTTGGTGCTGGGCCTCCTCCTCTTCAGCACCAGCGACGAGGCCGCGACGTGTGCGGAGCTGCTGGAGGAGCGCCCCGCGTGGTTTTGGGGGGCGCAGTGGGACGCGCTCTGGACGTCCGTCCGGCGGGGGCGGAAGATTCCACTGGC